CACACACACACACACACACACACACACTGGAAAACAAGGAGGGCGAGGACCACACACACACACACACCGTACATTAAACACACTTACAGGAGAAAACAAACACACACACTCACACACACCTTAGTTACAGAAACGACAAACAAACACTATGAAAACTTCCTGTCTGCGCTGATCTGGTTAAGAAACTATTGCATCCATAAATTCCTGAGATGTGTCTGTCGTTATCACACACACACACACACACACACACACACACAGTGATAGCAGTCTACTCACAAGTGCTTCAGATTTCTGGGATCAGTAGAAAAAGTCAACATATCCTTCTGTCTCATCTGTGAAGGGATTTGTTTCACACTCCTCCTCCTCCTCCCTGCTCCTCTTGTCTTTCTGTCTTTCACCGGCAGACTAAAGAAAGAGAGAGAGGGAAAGAGAGAGAGGGAGATCTGCAGTGCTGGAACTCTGTCAGTGTGCTAACTGCCTCCCTCTCTGAATTTCTCTCCTCCCTCTCCTCTCCTCCCCTCTCCTCCTCTCCCGCCCTCACAGTTTTCTCCAAGGTCAGTGGGTAGAACCGGCCCGTGTTGACTCCTCCCTGGGTCGGACAATTGCTCCCCTCCTCACATACCCTCCTTCAGACTGGACTGGACACCCGGGCACTAATTACCGTCATGATCCAGATTAACTCCCGGGTGTGCTCTTGTTGTGCTGAGGCCTATATGCTGCATGGGCCGGGGGGGTTGGATTCAGCTAGCTGAGCTGGGACGGTACAACACACACACACACACACAGACAGGATTACTGTTGGGAGGTTTAGACCCCACAAGGAGGGCCAGGGGCGGTCAGACAGGACAGGACACCCTTATTGCTCTGTAAGGGACAAGAAATGGAGAGAATGAGAGAGAGAGACTGACTATCACAAGAAAAAAATGAAAAAAATGGTGAAATTAAAGGTCAAAACTTGGGTTTTGTGTTGATTCTCTCATATTTACGGTCACAAGCAGACAACAACATGTGTAATCTCCAGTGTCATGGAGGAGACCAGGGTTAAATAGCTTAAGACGGGCGGCAGATCAAACAGAGACGTCTGAACAGTCTCCATTTCTCACTGGAGCAATTCACCGGGATACTTCCTCCCATTCACTTTCCATACAAACACAATCAGGCCGTGAAAAGATCGATGCAGTGACTCCTCCAGAGTCTGCTTGTTGATTTGTGCCAGGTCCACCCCCCTGCAGGGAGTTCAGGGGATTTGTTGGAGCGTTTAGCTGCATCACCCGGTGGCTTTAGGTGCTGTGATGGGATTAAAGGAGGGGGAAGCATCTGATGGGATGAGGCAGAAGTCGGTACATGAGCAGGAAGTTGTCCTTTAGCACAAGTTGAAGAGTAAAAGCCACAAGCCGATCACAGCGATTGATAGTATTTCATCACCTCCGCTGGTGAGGAGCTTCTGTTTTCCCTCGTTTGGTTTATTTGTTGAAGAAAACATCACATTTTGGTGCAGATGTGGAGTAAGAGACCAGGATGTTTTTATTTCCCTTTCTTTAACTGTTTCATGACAATTAAATCATTTAGGTTTTCAGACATCTTCCTACTAGAACTAGACAATCACTAGAAACGCTGCCTTGTTGTCTTCTAACATTTAGTTATGTATACCGAAAGAATACTGCTCTAAAATGGGATCCGGTATCTACTGTCAGAGTTGCATAACAATAAATATTCCAGGTAAATATTTCATGGCATATTCTTGAGTAAAGATAACACAACACAACCTCCTTTCAGAGACTCACACAAAACATCCTGGGAGCTGGTTACATCATCTGCAGCCACGGAGCATTAAAGCAGAGGAATTTCTTGTAATGTGCTGCGACCTTCTGGTTGTTTGTGGTAAGTGCAATACCTCCAAATACGCATTTAAAAAAAAATTAAGAAAACCTAGATGGATGAAATAATGTGTTGAAGCTGTTCAAACAAAAAACACTAATGTAATTTGCTTAAAATTCAAAGACACATCACGTGAAAGTTTCTTTTTGTATTTCATGAAATTGAGAACAGCATGCACAAAACCAACAGCAAAAGAAACACAATAATGAAGCATGCAGCCAGCATCAGTCAAAAAACGTAACATTGGGCCAGCCAACAGATATTTGCACAAAGTACAACAGGTAAAAACAGATGAAAAAACTATAAAATCAAATTTAAAAAAAGCAACAAGATGAGCACGAGTAGACAGGCTGTTGTTACAGTACACAACCAGCAGATGGAGGCATACAGTGTGAGGTCGGTGACACAAAACATGAAAAACAGTGAAATGCACAATAAGGATGAAAGCTCCGTACGACTGCAATGTTTGATCACCTTCATTTCAGTTTCCAAAGCACCAACAGATCAAAGCTATTATGGAATATTAACGACCATTCTGGAAATAACTATTTAACTTGGTAATCTTCAACATGACGGCACAGGAGACGTCTGCACCCCCCCCAATCTGTTCAGGTGAGTCCAAAAGGCACATCAGATTGAAAACAATGAAAAAAGATGGAACTACGCTTTGGTAATATCTGTAATAAAAAAAAGTCAACTCACTGCCAACGGTTGGTGCTCACGTTAGGAAGATTTATAATCCACCACTTAATACTGGTAACACAGTCCAAACACATATTTCCAGGCCCTGCCTTTAAATTCAGTAATTTTCTTTCTTTTATTTTGTTTAAATAAAATATAACTTCAGGTCCCAGAACATCACAAAATATCAGGGGAAGGTGATGTCCAAAAAAAAAAAAAGGTTTCCAACCAGTAGGATGACTATGAGACATTTAAGGTGAACATTACAGGAGACAAGTTAAATCCAAAGAAAATGTAAAAAGCACATGAACACGAACATAAGTGACAACAAATACATGTTACTCTCCTTCCTGTGCTGTCAACAAGGCAAAGCAAACTTTAAATACTGCATGAAACAGAGAGGGTTGATTCTGTAAAAAGTTAATTCAGGATAATGTTAAAACTAAATGACTTTCCCTCATTTGCATTTCATCCACGTGACCTATCAAAGTGTCTTTATACTGATTTGTCCATTAGCAATCTCTCTTTCTTTAAAGACCTGAGCTGTACCAAGTAGTCTGCATACAGTGCATCTATTACAGCCAAATACTGAGATCATACAGCGCTAACTGTACGTAATTGTCAAGTACATACTGTCGTAATTCATTTGTTTCTTTGTTTGTTAGCAGGATTACACAAAACCTACGAAAGCAGATTTCCACACAACTTGGTGGCAGGATGGAAAACGGGCCAAAAAAAGAACTCACCACATTTTGGCGAGAATCTGCAAAAATAGTTCCAGATCCAGGAAATTTCTTTGCAGGGAATATTCAGGTTTAAATTGGGCTACAAACCTTTAGCTACCACCAATGTGCTGTTGAGATAATGTGGATTCAGCCATGAATCAACAGTCTATATGGATCAACAGGGTTTCTCCAGGTTTAGTTAGATTCAAGACTGCTAGACCATAATGAATGAACTTTAAGACTTATGTTGAGTACAACAGATAAGAAGGATTATCTGAGCCACAACTTTTTAAGGCCTTAAAAAAATGTTTTTAAGACCCAGCTGAAACCCTGAAGAACTACTGTTTGTACAAACCGACAGATTTGGTGCGGCTTGACCTTGGCGGAGGTATTTGCTCTAATGTGTGATTTTCTAATTTAATATTCGTCTTGGAAAACATGTTTGAAGATTTTTGTGTTCCAAGGCCATTTTGTCAAGTTGTCTGTTAAAACATAAACAAACAAAAACAAGGTACGAGACGGGACGTTAGCATGAAAAAAGAAACAATTACATACCGTCATAAAAAAAATACTAACCCAGAATAAATCTGTGCTACTTCAGTTAAGTAAGGAATGAATAGGTAGTGTTAATGTTATTAGTCTCTGTGGATGCCCGTCTGTGCCTACTGTCTGAACTGGCTCGCTGGCTGTGAACTTTGACCTTACTGTAGGATTGTACAGTAGCTGGGGTCGGGAGTGAGCTACGTCACATTGTCAAGGCATTGGCTCATCATGGCAGAAAACATGAAGTAGCACCTGATGGTTAGAAGGAAGTTAAGGGCCTGTGATGGAAAACAACAAATACCTGGATGGCAGGTAAAGTGACACAGTAAAAGGGGATTAGCTGTTTTCATGTAGGGTATGTCTGTTAAGTGAAGGCAGCATGGGAATGAAACCATGACACAGAATACTGAGTCTGAAAGAAATGCAGCAAAATCTGAAAACGAAAGTCCTTCATGTGGATCCACAGCGGCCAGAACTCGGCGGGATCCTTCCCTGATCCACGGAAATATATACGTCCTCTCATCCAGCATTTAAAGAATACTGTTCAAATTGTTCTTCATTTCACAACTGTCTCTCGTTTGACACGGCAGCTGATCTCATTCTGTGTCAAACATCCTGTCATTCAGTTTTTTCACGAGAGCGGCCTCTTCACTTAGAAACGTTAGCAGGACTGGATCTCTCTGCTGTACACCCTCAGGGGACTTCCATGGGAAGCATTGTCAGATCAGGAGAAGCAGGCAGGCAGGGTCAGTGGCATGACTGGTTAGAGCTACGGCACAGAAGGCCGGGGCTTCAGCTGTGGTAGCCGGGCATAGCTGCCTGTTTCTGGGAGAGACGCAACAGCTCCTCCCTGATGGCCTTGATCAGGGAGGCGGAGGAGTGGGTGGGAGGATCCAGGGGCGGTGGGGCTGACATGTAGCCCCCCACAGGGGGATCTAGGAGGGCAGGGGGCGCCGAGGGCTCCCTCATACCACTTCTAGGCATCTGGAAGATAGGGGAGCATGAGTAGTCAGGACAGTCCAGGAACTGAAGGGACGAAAGAGAAGACAAAGAGGAAGAGGAGGAGGAAAAAATAAGGAAAAGGCAGGAAAAAATGTAGGTAGAGAAATCAAGAAGGAAATATAAAGTGGTAGAGAACTAGAAGGAGATTTCTTTCAGAGCAGCATGGCATTTAAAACATTTCAATTCCAGAAATCCCTGTCTGTCTATATGTGGCTTGCATATCTGGAGAACCGCTCATCTTATCGGTTGCACACTTGGCACGTGTATTTTTACAGGCTCAAGGATGTGCAGTGACAAATGCAATTGGGGCGGCGACGTTCAATGTTGATAAACTTTGAATTAACAGGCGACCAGCTCTTTGTGCAGCAGCGGTGGCACAGTTTCATGGTTCTGTGGACTGAGTCCTGCGGCCGGTCTTTAGTTGCCACGTCTGCAAGTCACTTTTTACAGATTTAAAAAGAACGCTGCAACCAGCATCACCACAACCCAAACAAACAGGCAGGTTTAGATCTGCACTGCATGAGTGTAAAAATCCACTCGGCTAAACAAAGAAAAAGTTACACAACTTTGTCTCACTTCATTTCAGGTTCAATGAATCTAAAATGAACAGATCTTTGCTTCACTCACTGCATCTTTTTCAGCCTTTGCTCTGGAGAAGTTATCATCGTGGTAGTGGTTCCAGCCGATGCCTCCATTCTGGCCCGGAGCAGCTCTGACCCCTGCTGGGTAACCGTTGATCCGACTGGACAGTCCCACTTGTGTGAGATGATGGAGCTGGGCGCCTGCACACACACAAACGCATCACGTCAGGGCAACAGTGCCTGACACTCAATCCTCAGCACCTCCTCTAATATACTTTGATATAATCATCACAGTCTCTGTCTGTCTGTCTGTCTGTCTGTCTATCTGTCTGTCTGTACTGCACTCTGCATGGCAAAAGCCAGAATCCATTTCTAAAAGTCACATGACGACCGGCTCTTTAAGTTTGACAAATTTATGGGGTGACAGTGTGAATCTGTGGCCAGATCCAGAAGAAGAGTCCCAAGACAAACTTTCTGTGTAAAGACAGTAAATAATGTTCAACCTTCAAGTGTTATTGCCCATTTATTAATTTTTTTTAATGATTTACATTTCAAAATGTTGCAAAGTCAAAATTAGAAAATGTGTTTGTTTGCAGGGCTGTGTTAATAGTCTATGGCTGTTTGCACATGTATGTAATTTCCAGTCGTACCTGTAGTTCCCCCCACTGGTCTCGGTCTTGCAGATGAAGGGAGCTCATCAGCGTACAGCCCCCTGCTGGAGTACAGGCTGTCTGACTGGAACTGCTCGCTGAGGCCTGCTGTTTCTCCTGGTGGCAGGTAGCTGGAGCCAAGGCCCTGTCTGAAACACAAAGAGGTCCACATGAGTTTAACTGACTTAAAACTATTGTTCTTGTTTCCAGCCAACTAATCTTTGTAAGCCAATATATGGAAACAGAGACCGAGAGGACAGTGTCAAATAAGTAATTAAAACCAAATTACAGTGAAAATGTACACTTGAACATACACCAGTGTGATAAGAACTACCTGTAATAACAGAAACCACATTTCAATTACTTAATGTGTAGTTTTTAAAAAAGTTTGTCCCATGTTCCATCCACTAACAGAGTAGACAGGGTTTATGACATATACTGCAGCCAGCCACCAGGGGGCCACCAAGATGCTTTGGCTTAACTTTTGAGGAGCTGCCTTGTCTTCAATCTTTACATACAATCTATAGGAAAGACATGTGCGTAAATTAAATGAGTCTTATTCAGTTCATATAGTCTTGAAGTTTCACATCTCACAACCACAAAGTAGCTGCAACAAACAGTTTGACAGCTGCTGCTGATATTTTATTTTTACTGGGCTTGAATTTCCAGTGGTGAAACGTTTTTCACCACAAATGCATCCGCTCGGTTTCCTTTGGCTCCTCACAAGAACATGAATGGACTTTGTGAGAGAAAACTGATCATGTTTTTTGGAGCTGTGCAGAGTTTGTCTTTGTGTGTTACGACACAAATGTGCGTACGAGTGCCTTGGTCGTTTTGGAGCCAGTTTAAGAGACCACTGCTTGGACCTGATCCATTAAGATAGATAGATAGATAGATAGATAGAGTACTTTATTCATCCCCGGAGGGAAATTAAGGTGTCAAACCAATAAAACCAATAAAATAAAGATGACTCATCCTTTATTATTCACGAGGCCCAATGCACTTGATGCACCTCAAGGAAAATATTCTCACTGGTGAGGTGGTGGAAATCAGGCTGCACTGATCAATAAGAAATAATTTTGGTGCAGGAAGAAGTGAAAGTCAAATAGGAGCATTATTTATTAATTCATACACTAATAATCAATTTTCTCAGACTGCTCCACTAACCTTGGTGTCAGGCCTTGGACTGGAGGAGGGGACAGAGCCAGCTCGCTGAACCTCTGGATGGAGACAAAGAAAAACAGACAGTCCTTAGAAGGAGGTGAAAACAAATTCAACCAACACTTGTTTGTAATTCCTAAATTCAGGGTGGTAACTAAGGGCGATCAGGCTTCTGTCATCAGGGCTCCAAGGCTCTGCAGAAAGTCACCTGAGGAGAAAAGACTTGTCACACTTATATTAATTTTTAATCATTTGTCTGTAATATTTTTACTTGTTTTACTCTGTGTTGTCTTGTTCCAATGTATTTTGTTAAGCACTTTATAACCTTAGAATTATGGAATTTAAAGTTTTATTATTATTATTCTATCACATATTCCTGACACGCACCTTGAAACTAGAGGAGACACTGTCGCTGTCTGCGGTTCACGGATATAATCAACTTACAAATATTAAAAAACTGCCAGGCACAGCTTTGATGCTGTAACATGATATGGCAGAATGAAATGCTGTAATTGATGCAAATAGAGTTTGCAGTGGATGTTCATATTTCTTATGAAAGCAAAGCAATACTGTGCATATTTTTTATTTTGGCAGTGAGAGCTAAAAATCATATTAGAGGCCCACCCATAAATGAGATACAGGCCTTTTACGTTATTTGTGTATTTATGGTTTCCGTCAAAAGAATTATGAATATTTTCTGAATTCAAGTTCAATATATTGAATTGTACTTGTGTTTTATTTTTAATTAAAATAAAATATCAAACATCAATTATATTTATTTTTTCACAAGGATTTCACATTTACGACATCATTGCCACATTTTGTAATATGGATATTGGCCCATATATTAGTTTAGGAAACGTTTTACTCTCTAGTATCAGTATGAGCCCCAGAAATCAATATCTGAGAGGATTTAATTCATACAATAAACAATGTTTGTTTTTAAAAGTGAGGTTTTGCTGTATATCCTTCAGAAAATTAAACATTAAAGTAGCATAGTGATAATTTAACTATAATCAATACAGTCCTCTCTTAGTTATATTGCCATTGCGCTTCTAGGTTTCCCTTGATAGTGTGTGTGGAATGAACACTTGTTATGAACACAGTCACAATGCTGACAGCGTACATAAGCCTCGGTGCTAATCCAATCAGTCTTCACAGTTTCCTAACCGCTAATATATTCTCTTTTCATGAATTCATATTCATATAATTTCATATGATTCAATAGTTTTTTTTTCTTCTCATAGAAAGCCCATGAGCACTGACAAACTTTCTGCAATTTGAATTTCAAAGCCGTGGATAAGCTACAGATAACTTCCACTTTGTCTCTCGTGTTATACAGGCACAGTGTTATTGTCTGAATTCAAGATGAGACAATATATCTGTGAAAACAACAGAGCCCGTCGATGACTGTTCTGTGACACCAGCCCGCAATGACAGGAGCTGATGCAGATGAAACATATGTAGGGTATATTACTGTAGGGTCTTAGGAGTTGTAGATAGCTGATGGGGGTTGTAAGGTCGCAGCTCTACAGGGGCGACAGATGGAGGAATGCTTAACTGATTAGTTTGCTAAGAGGACACGATTTACTGTTGAAGCTACGGAGGCCGTGCTGAGAATGAGCTGAACAAACGTTGAGAAAGGGAAGAGACGGTGAATGAGAGGGATATTACGTGTGTCTGTGTGTTTACAGTTTGGGCTGTTACAAATTTGCAGAGGGATTTCTGTGGGCCTGTCCCCAGATTAGTGAAATGAACAGATGCATGACGGGACCACAGCTTTGGAGGATGTTTAAATAGCCAAAGCTTAGATGCCGGAAAAGAACAATTTGTTTCCAGTACATAAAATTCGATGTTGACTGACAGATTAAAGCCGTATCAAAAGTTTTCAGTACATACAATTACCAGGGATGGTTTACTTACACCAGGGAAAGGGGGATAAGCAGGACCCCAAGGCCTGGGGCCCCGGCCTGGAGGGCTGGAGCTCGGGGGGTTGCTGTTGACCCCTGGGAGAGTGATGCCTGCTGTGCTGCCCTGAGACGTGGGCGACACGAGGGCGAAGGCATCGTCCAGCAGCGAGTGCATCTGCTGCCGCGCCTCCTCGATGGAGGGCTGCGGGGGCATGTAGGGCGGTGGGGGAGGTGCGTGACCTGGAGGAGAAGAGGTGGGACCCAGGAAGACGTCGTCAGTGGGGGAGGGGCTCCCGTAAGGGGACACTGGGCCTTGGTCGGGGTCCGACTGGAATGAATAAAACATATTTATTGTTTAAGATTTTATGTACGATTGCATACATGTCATCGTGCTTCTGCTCTACTCACTACGTAAGCCACATTGTTGACCCCAGGACACTTTCTGTAAGCTGCATCGCTGTCTTCAGTGATCAGGTGGTCTTTGTCTGCGTCCATCATGCCTCCATTCAGCTGATCCTTCATCCTCTGTTTGGGAGAGCGCCTCCCTCGACCACTGAAAAAAAAATTGGACAAATGTTCATTCATTTTTTCAACAACTTTTCTAGCACAATACCAAACAAGGGGTCTGACCCAAAATCTGAGCCCAAACCTTTTCTTGGATTCCATGAAGATGGAGGGCATCTGAGTGTCCGGATCCAGAATCTTATCAATCTGCATCTGTGCTTTCTGATAGATGCGATCCTGGTCCTTCATGTCTGTGAGGCCACTGTTCACGTCATCCATGGTGGGGAAGTCATAGTGGCCCTTCCTCTTGGCCCGCAGACGAATTTTGTTGCGGTGGTGCTCGATTTCTGACTTGTGCCTCAATGCTACCTGGATCTGAGGAGAAAATAACATAATTAAAATAAGATGCCTCATATATTTACATTAGGTAAGACTTGCTGCAGATGAGTTGAAACAACGTCTTCACACTTTACCAGCTGCTAGCGACAAATCCAAACAAGCAGTGCCCGAGAGGAAATAATAATAATTTTTTCGAAATGACTTGTAACATTTGCTCGAATCAAATCTTTTTTATTACATGTATAAATGTAATTAAGTCTCTGATTTCTCTGTACTTGTGCCAGTTTGGCTCAAATATCGTAATTGTCTCATGTAATAAAGAAGAAAGGTTAACAGCAGATGACAGAATTGCCAGACTAGATGTTTTTTTTGGAGTCTGAATAAAACAGATGTGCATGTGTTTTCAATTTGAATGAACAAGTGGTCACCCATTTGATCCAAAACCCATTTTTTTAAAACATAAATTAAGTCAATCTGTTGTTTTTCCATTGTGTTTCTACTCGTATGATGACTGTGAAAAGAGTGAAAAGAAAAAACCTCTTTGTCGATTTGGTTGGCGTCTGACAGTTTGCCGTTGACAGGTGGGCTGTGCAGCGGTGGGACAGGTATGGGCTGCATGGCGATGAGCTGGACTTTATTTGGGAGCCTTCTGCTCGAGTCGGTGGCGCGAGACATTCGATCGACGTGTTCAAAGATGGCGGCTGATGACAGCTGCTCGCTCGTACCGTTCATGGGTGGAGGACCTGAGTAGTAAGAAAGTAAGAAAACAGAGGTTAGTCAGCACGGAGTAGTTTATGAAAGTCCAAATACTAATAAGCTAAAAATGGCAGCAGAGCAATGGCGACTACTGTGCAGGGAACATTTACCTTTTTAATTCTATTGGAACGATATATTTGAAATATGAGCTTTTAATTACAAAAACGTGGAATAAAACATTCCAGAGATGATGTGAAAAGGAATTTTTATTTCCAAAAGCTAAACTTCATATCAAAGAAGGGCTTTGCCTTTTCTTTGTAAAGCTGATTGTTTCTACTCAGGGAGTGACGGCTCAGGGGACAATGACGAATGGTGAGAACGAGCAGAGTACAAAGCTACCACAGAAACACGACGACACACAAACACAGCTGCTGGAGGTCAAGCCTGAGGTCTAAAGATACACAGACGTAAAAGAGGGCAAACTCTTACCAATTCTATTCTTTCCTGCAAACCACAACAGAAAGGAAAGGAGTTTTATTGAGAGGAAGGAGATCAAATAAAAGCACCAAACATAGAAGTGGTTACTGTATGTTAATAATAAAACACTAGTGATGTGAAGTCTGGCTGTTTCAATCACTAGAAATGAAAATAAGTGTAGCAGAGAGATGGAAAAAAGGAGCTGCCACTAATGAACAGACAAAACACGATTCTTAAAACAAGCTTAAAAAGAAAGATAGCTCATTACATAAGAGTGAGTGTGCCTCATACACAATCTACTTATAAACACTGTGGTGGAGTATATACAGTCTCAGGCTGAGATTTATCATTAACAAAACAGAGACCATTCCTCTGTGGGTGAGTCAGGCTGAGGTCTCTGTGCCTGACTGCGTCTGGCTCCAGCTCGGAGTCTCTGAGTGGCAGCACAGGCTTGAATCTATCAACAAGCTGTCAGAGCAACTTCAGTGTTTTTTCCCCCTCCTGTTTCCCTGCACACTTCATTCTCTCTGGACTTCTTTCCACCACTTCCTACCAGTAAGTTCTACTTTCACCCCCCCCCCGCCTTAACCTTTAAGTCACTGCTGGGCTTGACGCTGCACTTTTCCCTCAGTAGTTTTTTTTACTCTCACTTTTTTCACCACTTCCCAGTCTCCCTTGCTCTCAGTCTGACCCTCTTGTCAATCAAGGCACGCCTGCTCGAGTTGTTCTCTCTTTATCTCTTTATATCTGTCCAATCCCTACAGCTTCCTCCCTCCCCCACTTTGTAATCACTCTCTCTGTGTTTGGAGGAGTGAAGTGAGTGTTGCCAAGGCCACTTGCCATTTAAAACATTGATGGGGACCTTGCGGGTCTGCCTGCCGTCGTTTGGCGTGGCTTGGGCTCTCAGGTTCTCCTCAGTTGATTCCTGCACACTGGAATGGTCACTTACCACCGAGTCACCGTCTGACGGAGAGATTCTACCAGGAAAACACACACACACACACTTACATTAATAATAGAAGCGTGAGGACACACTAACATGCTGAAATGCCATGCATTATCAAAAATAGTGTTTTTTCCAGGAAGGTAAAAGCTGGGGATAGACTTCTAAGAAATTAAAATATGAATTGAGGCCGAGGGATAATGGAAAAGTATTTGATTACATTTACAACAAATTTTTCATGGCTGACAACAAAATTAACAAAATCGGAAATATCAGTCCCCCGATGCAAAAAGGACAAAAATTAATTAATGTATTTAGCAGCAAGTGGTGTACAATGCTGTTGGTATCATAAACTGTCTATTAGCATAGTTGGGAGGTAATAGTATTAATGCACATATTCATTTAAATTATCATAGATAACATCAAACAATAAAAAAACAATAAATAATAAACCTTTTACTGCAAAAAATAAAACCTAAAATAAAAAAAGGTTCCACAGACAGTCTGTGAGGTCCCTCACTGTCGAATGCATCAATAATTGATCAGAGGATCTGTCAAAAGCTTTTTTGTCTGGATGACTGACTGTCCCGACTGAGGTGAGAAGAAAATCTGAGTAAAAAACAAGCTCAATTACATATCCAAATAAAAATCTAAATATCTGTACAGGGTAGTGAAATAAATCCAAAATATATATTTCATTCAGTGCAACAATAATGACCATAACATAACTGAGTAAAGCATCACAGAAAAACAGGTGATACTAATTCAGGGCGTCCTTTCCTGACCTTTCTCGCCTTCGGCCGCTGCGGGACGCCTTGGTGGAGGAGGCTGAGTTTTTCGATATGGGCGTGGGGATTTCTCCGTTCTCAGAGGGACTGAGGCCATCTTTAATGGACAGGGGGAGGGACCCGGGGCCAGGCCCTGACGGCATCGGCTCCTGGATCACCATGACATCATCCTTACTCTGCTGGCCGAAGTGCAGCTTGGCAAAGTCGAAGCCTTTTACACTGGGAGCCTGCAACTAAGGGGAGGGTTGGGAGAATGGAAAGAGAGATCACACAATGTAATTCTCTCAAGACTTATAATCTGCAGTGAGTGTAGTGAGAGCCGGAAAGATGGAAAGACAAGTTCTGAGTTCACAATTAGGCTGAATGCCTGATGAATGCATGTCCAGGAGGGAGACTCAGACAGACAGACATTAATGAATAAAGAGAAAGAGGGACAGGGATGAGTGGGAGACACTGAGCTGCTTGCTCTCCTTTGAGGTGATGGGGGGATGGAGGCTGGCGATGGAAGCAGTGAGACTATTTGAGTGTAAAGCCCTCAGGACTTTCCAGCAAGAATAAACAGAGGATGTCAGATCTCCGTGTGAGTGCTTGCAGTTTGTGAAACTCTGGTTCTGTGACATTGCAATGAGGCTACGAGAGAAGAGACATGTCCCTGTTAATTCTGCGTTGAAAAGAAGATGTGCAGCTGAGGCTTGTTAGTATAAAACTAATCTGGTTTGATGTTTGTCAGTATAAAAGTGCTAAAAACTGAGTTTGTGTATAAGGTCAAAAAGCTTCAATAGTAGAGGTTGTTATGTATAATTAACACTCAAGCTGAATGAACGCAAACAGACAGCTAGCAACACATTATAATCTATAATTACTACATCTGGTCTAACGGTAAATTAGGAAATCACCCACAACAATCATGCAGCATGACGTCAATAACTCTACAGCTTCAAAAGATCTAAACACAAACACACCAATGCCAGATTTTCTGTCTGTGTCGTTATAATTGGGGAAAGCAGGATCCTAATGTCCACTAATGCAAACAAGCACTGGTCTCTACGGCTACAACACATTATACCTCCTCTGTGGCTCTCCGTCCTCTAGACAACACTTTCATTTTTTCATCTTTCTTCATCCCCCCTGTTCTCTGCAGCATTGCCCTGCTCTCTTGTTTTCTTGGCTCCTCTGGTTTAATTCCTTTCTTTTTCATTTTCTCCTTTTCCTCATCTTGGTCCTCATCTTCTTCTTCTTCCTCTTCCTCCTCTTCTTCTTCTTCCTCCTCCTCTTCCTCTTCTTCCTCCTCCTCCTCCTCCTCTTCACTGCTCATATTGCTTTTGCTCTTGGAAAGAGCTACTGGTCTCTAAGCAGAAGCAATAGCGAGTAAATACTTTTAGCGATGATATGGTCATATCCCCAAAATTTAGACAGTTAACCAGTGACAACTATGTACTTCAATAAATGAACTGTGCAAGATATGACTAATTACCAGAGAACGGCAACAGTTCACAGCAAAAATACACACAAACTACATCTCTACATCTCCTACAAACCACCAGACACTGCTCTGTACCTTCCCCCTTTTAACATCCTTCTCTTCCTCCTCCTCTTCCTCTTCTTCTTCATACTCCCCCTCCTCCTCACTAAACTCTACATCCTGTTCAACTGGAGGGAGGGTGTGCTGAAGACTCCTGGACTCGCTGAATGACGTAGTAGACTGAGAGAAGAGGAGTGGTGTTAGGTGGCAGATGATTGTGTTAAGGAGAGAGAGCAGGATAAGTGATTCTGCACATTAGAATCATTGCATCAACTCAATACAAATGGATTAAATCACAGCTCAAAGAAACCAAAGAAAGCAGGTGGAAGACAGACACAGACAGAAAGATCAACCAGTGGGTCTGGAAGCTGACAAACAGGATGCTTGTAATTTAACATGCAAAAGAATCTATTTTAACATTGGATCAGAGTTTTTGTGGTAAACCTTCGGATTTAATGATGAAAGAGTCAGCGGGAGCAGAGAGAGCACTGCAGGTGTTACTCAGTGTTACTCAGAGATTAGTGATGCACAACAGAAAGTACAAAACTCTGTTGTTGTTGGTCAGAGCAGCAGAGCAGAGAAGTTGCAAACCTCTTTCACATTAATGGAACTGTCCAAAACAGTCACTTTTAATGCGGCCACATGATGAATTGTGTTATGTTATTACATTATATGGGATATATATATATCTATATAATACCTTTAGATATAAACACCAGAATGATAAATAATTCAGCATCACATAAAACTGCTTCTGATTTTCTCATAAATCTGACCATGTGACTCTAAAAGTGAAGTGGTGCAGAGTTCGTGAGGAAAAATCTAAAAAGTTTGCAAAAAAATGAAAGAGCATCACAGGCTCATCTCAAGTAAGAATCTCACATCCTTTAATAAGTCTCTTTACTGGGATCATTAAAGATTTACTAATCTAATCTAAAAGAAGAAATGATGAAGAAGAAGTCCAGATTCTGTGCAGCACATTCATGGCAGTGACGGATACATCCAATTAATTAGCAGCTCATTTGAATTCAAAAGTGGGCTCAGCTTTCTGGCTTCCCAGATCCGCTGCATTTCTTTTTTAAATGAATTTTGGATGAGAGGTGAAATGTCTTCAGAGATCTACCAATAACTGAGCTCCCTGTGATTCAACACTTGGAAAAAAGGTGAAAAACAGGTCAGACCTCTGATCTCGAACACAATGGCATGAATTATCATGTTAAAGTAATTAAATAACGACAAGAAGCATTGTTTTTTTCATCTTGAAATGACTTTGAAATGCTGATTCCATGAAGCTTTGGTCAGACACTGTGAAACACTGGTCGGACTCTACCTTCTGTCTCTGCTGCTGGATGGAGGTCATGGCGTCTGGCTGGAATTCCAGCTTGTCTGTACGACACAGTTTCCAGTAGAGGATTGAAATGATGACGATGACGACGAGGAGGGGAATCACCACCCCGATGACGATCCACATGTTGGTGTTCTCTTTGTCGGAGGGTGAAGACGTCACTTTCTCTACAGCTGTAGATGAAGAGATAAGGAACATGACAGAGCATTTAGTTTACCATCCCTATTTGTGTTTGCATGCGTCATTTCCGTCCTGTATGTGGTTCAATATTCCAACCATACCCTTTTATTCCCTTAAGCCTATTAACAGACACAGAAGCTAAACATGCAGTATTGTTTGAGTGCTGGCTCCTGCCTCACTGTTATCGTTATCTTCAATGCAGACTTTCGTTCGTTTTAATTAACACTCATTTCATCCCCTGGGAAAATACCATAGGAGAACACAGTCAGCACAGAAAACAAACTCCCCTGAGATGCTCTCATTAGGCCTTCATCCCTTGTTTAGATTCTTAATGAGGAAGACAGGCTTCTGGTAGAGTGAGAACAAGGGGAGGTAATGAGCTCAGATGTTATTATAAACATATAAAGGAACACACACAGCTGGCAGTTAACCTGCTTTTTTCTTTTGAACTATTTCCCTAATGCTGTGTCTTTTTCCTTTCATTCCCTCTGCTCCCAACAGAGATTTAGCTTTAGTCAGTAAGTGCAACTTTGAAAAGTTGTTTTTAACTACAACACACATGACTAAGGCAAAAAGAAGTCTGAGCTGTAGTCATGAGTACAAAACAATAATGATTAACAGTAAAATCTAGAAGGGCACTGAGTAGAGTGCATACCTCCCTCCAGATGAAACTGAATATATAACACAAAGATGTCAGACACGTCCTCTACAAACAAATCGATTTCACAGAAGTGGATGCAGCCCACGCACGTGATGAGGACAGGATGTATATATATGTTATACAACACCTCTACCTGAATTGCAATTTGAAACCAAAACTAACCGCATCAAATTTGGAGCAGACCCAAATAAAACTCTCTTTCTCGTAATGAAGTTTTATTCCAACTCCATGACAGCACTCAGATAAATTATTTTGCCCTAGGACACAACAGAAATGCAGATGCTAAAAGAGAGAGGAAAACTAATTTAGTTTGTCCACGTCGAGGACTATCTTCTTAATCACTACATCACTTGGCTGCCCTTGAATGTCTACTCTGCAAGAGGTACTCACGCTGTGCCAAAACACCCTGGACACGATATCCCAAGACGATGGCCGCCCTTTGAACATCCAGGTTATTGAGTATGTCGGCTGTTTGGACTGCAGGCACTCGCTGACCACTGGGACCCTCCACAAAATACACTATCTCCAAGGGGTGGTCCTCACCCTGCAGCCGGCTCGCACTCACAACCTAGGAGGTGAAACAAGGAAGGAAGGGACAATTTGACATTGGCCCAAATATCTGTGCAAAATAATATGGTACACGGGGTAGTATGCATGTAGTAAATGTTTTATACACATTGCTTCCAAAATTGACCATGAGAGCCGTTGAAGATGATGCACTACACTCTCTGCATTAAATATCAGTGGGCTAATTTGGGCCCTAATGAACAGAGTCACTACTTCAGTAATAAAAATGACTTTTTAATGGTGAGTTTGGCACCTCATTTTCTATGGAATTCACTCACATTAATCATCTATACGATTTGTGGCTGCAGAAACTAAAATGAAGGCACTTATTATATGGACTCTGTAACTCCTGTATCTTGGACTGAAACTTGGGACACAAGCGGGTGAATCCAAGTGAAACTGTGCTGTATTGTATTGTATAAATTTTACACCACTATAACATAAAATTCCAGCTGTATTGATTTAATTAACTGCTGCAATTGAAAATAACTGCATGCACATACGCATGTATACACACACACACACACACACACACACACACTTGTACTTTTATCTTGTGAGGATCCCACTTATGATATATCAACTTGCGTTCTGTATTCCCATCAGAGTATTCATTGTTGAAATATTTCTCCATGTTGTCTATTATCGCTCTCTCACTTTCTCTCTCTCACTCCCTGTGTGTGTGTGTGTGTGTGTGTGTGTGTGTGTGTGTGTGTGTGTGTGTGTG